GTTTAACGGATTTCAGATTTACAGTTATTATTTAACTAAAAGTTATTTTTTTTCTGCGAAAAATCTACAGGGCTGAAATGTTGTTATTTGTTTGTTTTCTCATATAATTACATCTGATTTGTTAAAACCAGCATTTGATTTATTGGCAATTATTTTGGTTTAAGTTAAATCTTTCATTTCATTGTCAATATTATCTGGTTTTTGTTTTAAAATTATATTTTGTTTTCCTTGTGAGAGAGGGTGCGTGAGAGTGCGTTTGTTTTGATAATTTCTTATTTTGTTTTTTTTTTCTTTAAATAAATTTATTTTGTTTTGTTTATTCTACGGTTTATCATTTTCTTCTCTACCTGCACAAAATCTAAAAGAACTTCATGACAACATGGAACCAAGGAATATGTAAGTACTGTGAAATCACAAAATTTCGTGGGGTGGGGGGGGTGGGGTGGGTGGGGGGTTCTTTTCGTTTTTCGAGGGATGAAGAAACCCACGAATTCATGCCCACCACGAAATGTTAAATGTTACATACATTCAAATATAACTACTCAACAATTTCTTCATCCACGAATTCAAATCCCAAACAAACAAAGATTTTTTGCTCAAACCTCGAAAATTTGACCCCACGAAAATATGTGATTTTACAGTAGTTTACTAGCTATACAAACAAACGATTTTTACCTCCTTCAATATGTACAAAGTTATTCTATATATAATGTTTTCTAATTTACTCTCAGTAATATAATTTTCATAATACGATATATCTAGTAGTATTTCAGCTCTGAAACAGGTATATTGGACTGGTTGAGATTAGATCTGGAAACTAGTGCTGTATCCCTGTCTCAGTCCGTTGTCAAGGGGCTGTCGCAATCGTGCTCACATTTGGATTCGCGAAGTAAGGAATTGATGTTTAAGTCGCGGGTTAGAATCCCACTGTGCGACGTAGAGATCAGTCCTTCGAATGAATAAATAGAAACCGAGGCCCTGTATCTCAGTAAGTACTGACACAATAAAGACCCCAACCTGCTCAATAACCCTGAGTGCCGAGTATAGGACAATTTTTTAGCCCTCTAACGGAAGGTGGTGGCGTCTCTATATTTGCTAAAAATTCTCGAGAAGGACGTTATACAACAAAAAGTCAATCAATCATATTTAAGTGTAAAAGAAAAAAAATATTTATTCTAGAATATATAAAAAGTCTGTTTTTAAAGTGCGCCTTATGATGGTATTTGTGAAGGTAAGAGAGGCAACTCATGTTTACTTAGAACATAACAACACATCATAATTTGAAACAAAATAGCTTTTTATTTGATTTGATCATAAGAATGTAAGTAAATTTCCCTTTAAATTCCATGTTTATTACTGCATTACAAAATAAATTAAGCTTCTTTAAACCATTGATCATTTTTTCAAAAGTAAAACTGTCTAAGATTTGAGAACCTGAATAGACCTGGGGCTCGTTTCTCAAAAAGTCGTAGATTTGGGCCTAAGTTAGTCCGACTAAGAAAGTTACGCCAAAATTTAGACGGGCCTAAATCACGTTTCAGAAAACAGCGTAAGACTGGGCCTAAGACTAAGACCTCTCCGCTAGGTACTAAGCATGCGCAGATCGTATTTTATTTGGCTTAGAGAGTACAATAACATGCGGTGGATCACAATTAAACCTGATTATAAAAAGTAAAACACAAGGAGCACGAATTTTCCCTGGCTTTCATCGTCTTTCAAACAAATATAATACACGAATCTATCTGTATTTTCAAGGTCAAAGCATTTACATACCAGCTAGTATTAGCGAATTCAGAAATCTTGACAAAAGGGCCAGATTGGGGTTGGGTTAGGGGCCCACAGTCACATAAAAAAATTGATTGAGCAAATCTTTTATTTTAGAGACACACCCCCTCCCCCTCTACAACCACAACTTTTATATTAAATAGTTATATGTATTTTGGTATGCTCAGATAAATTTTAAAAGTGAAATATATACTTTAGAAAAATATAAACGTGTATACCCTGTATTATATGTACTTGCGAAAAATTGGAATAAAAAGAAATTTTCCTATGAGTAAAAGCCATAAATTATATGCCATGGGGTTGGAACAGGCTCGTAGCAATATATTTGAAAGTCGTGGGGGTGCAACCAGTATCTCAGGGAAATTTTTCTCTAGTTAAAATACTTTGCGCAGAGAGAGTGAAGGACCAGAGCCCCCGAACCATAGGCGCACTGTGAAAATTTAACAATTTTGAAATCATAATGATAATCATTAAAACATGGATAAGAGAATTTTGAAGAAAAATTATCAGTTGCCTTCATTTTATAATATCAATCCATTTATTCATTACGAATTAGACATATTGGCATTTCAGTTGATACATGTATATACCTACTGTGTATATTTATAATACTAGTATTTTGGACACATAGTATTACATTGATATCGATATAATAATTTACATGGTCCATGTAAAAATCGTACGTACCTGTATATAGCAATTGCAGTATCAATGATGGCTTGCAAAAGCTAAATTAGTTTTAAATCTATACTTCTTGTGAACCATATTACAAACAAAAAATCTAGTAATTTTTTGTGATTAATTTCTCCTTTTGAATTTTCCATTTCAATATTTTCAAATCAGATTCATTTAGATCGGGAAAGGTACTAATTTCATCATCGCCATCTTTTCCTTAAATACATTCATTCCCCTTTAATTTTTTAATGAGGATATGTTCAGAACTTCATACATTATGATTTTTTTTTTATAGATGAAGAATGTTTACTGAAGATGTAAACTAGACTGAAAGATATTAAAAAAGTTGCGATTTACATTAACAATAAAAACATTTTACAACACTTTATTATCATCATTATTATATGATTAGTGTTGTTTCAAATATAATATAAATTATTTTTCTGTTCAAAAATCTATCAAAATAACTTTTTAGGCAAACGTGATAGATTGACAATGAATCGAAAGCATCTTTACGAAAATATAATAGACTAATCTACACATCTTACCCCCCGATAGTGACTCTAGTGAAATAGGAATGGAAAGTATTATGGACAGAATACTTTAATTATAATACTGGAACATTTTACAAATTTAAATGTTTAATACATTCTATTAATATAATATTTAATTACATGCAATTCAAGGGGAGAATCAAAGATACATTAACTTAAGTTAAAGTACATAAACTCGGCTGATGGCATAGTTACCGAATATTTTTTTTCATTATCTAAAATACTAGTATAAAAATGGATATTGTTTGAGGATTATATTAAAACATTATTCATTTCAAACAACAACAAAAAACCCTCATTTGTGTGTATACATCATGTAGCATCGTTTTTAAAAAGTTAATGGGGAAGGGGATGGGAGTGGTGGTGAGTACAGTTAATTTGATGATCAAAATATTCAGCAAAAAAGAGAAATGCTGAAAGTTGAAGTCAATCATAATTTACACAGCTTTATTTATACAGAAAACACATAACTGCAATAAAAACGGTAGGGTTGACCCCCCCTCTCCCCTCAGCGAAGAAATTCTGGCACTTCTTTAAAAAATCTTATCCAACTTGTTTTCAAAATTCTTAGTTAAAAATTTCTAGTTCATGCCACCTTTTACGGAAAAAGTCAGCATCTTCGATGGATTTAACTACCTTTCTAATTTCCTTCATAGTACAGTATGCTGTTTAAGAATTTTCACGATTTTCGGCATATCATTATGTACGTGTTTATGAATAGGTATTATATCGTATACGTATAAAATAATAATTCTGTTAACTCTTTATGATTAAAACACATGCCCTTTTTTCCAATGTGTATACAGACTAAGCACTTACGCCTACTCACGAGTAGGCCTAGATTTAAACCCAAATTTAGTCTCGACAAAGTCTCCGCTTTTTTGTGAAACGCAACTTAGTCCGATTCTCGGGTTTAGTCACTGATTTAGTCCGGACTAAGCTTACGAATGGTCGTAGGCCTTTTTGAGAAACGAGCCCCTGGGGTCAATACTACTTTCTAAATGTAATGCATTTACTTTAATTACATTGAAATGTTTTACCTTTACAATAACTTGAACATTTACAATTACTCCAATTCAGAAAAATTGATGGATTGTATTTATTTACCTTATCAAAGTTTTACATTACATTACATATTACACTTTATATTAGAAAAAAAAAGATTTTATGACAACTCATTTATATACTGTAAATCACTTTTTATTGGCGAGAATTTAAATTTCGCGTAATTACGCGACACAATGCGTTCGCGAAAATATAATTCTCGCGTATAAAAGTATTCCTTACGATTATATAAAGGAATAACAGCTATTCGTGAAAAGTATGTCTCGCTTACAAAGAGTCAACGACAATCTCCCGAAAATGTGTCGCGAAAATTTAGTGATCTACAGTATATATACATTTAATTTCTCACACTTGTTGCTTAATAATGAATGTAACATTCATTATGAGTCATCAGTCATCTTCCCTCCCTTCTCCAAGATCAAAAGCAAAGCTGGATGGTTTTTTTTATTTTCCCAGCAAATAAAATATGATTTGACTGTTTTTTTTATTATTTCAATAGAATATACTGCTTTGCACCCTTTGAACAAGGGCTTATCGATACCAACCCCTCGGGCTGATACAAGAAAAGTAATTAAAATCTTCCAGCAATTGCATTGTGAAATTCTGTTTTTGATAGAACCCATATATTATGTATTATAAGGCCAAGCTAAAAGAATTATCTGTTTGTAGTTGCCGACCTATAATTTTTAGACTGGGTCGGTAGGTTGGCATTTTTTTTTTTTGGAAAACAAAAAATCAGATTATCTGTTAGATAACAAATAATAGAGGTATTCATATGCCTACTTAACATGAATAAGCTCAACATGAATAAGCTGTTGTTATAAACCACTGATTGATAAAAACAAATGTCGAAATTTGAAAAGAAACACTTTCAATATTCTGAAAAATTGAAAAAAAAATAGAGTTACAAAATGGCTAAAAAAGTTTGGGTCGGGCACATTTTCAGTTGGTCGGTAGGCAACTGCAAACAAACTAATTTTTATTTTAGGCCTTATTTATTATTTTTTTGCGAATTATAAATAGATTTCAAAATAGTGCAAGTACATTTCTTCTTTAAATCAATGAAAATTCATAGCATATAAAGATAATATGCTTTTGACAAACTTCTTTTTAAATTAATCCTTATACTCAGATATCCATAACTATGTAACTCTTACTAAATGGAAAGCTTAATAATATTATTTTCTTATTTACAATCATTTTAAACATAATGCAGTGTTTACATGTATTTGATTTTTTTCAATACACCACTGGTACACTCAGCTACAAAAAGGTTGTCACTGGTGTCTACACATAAACCCCATGGACGCTGTAAATCACAGTTATCAATATAACGGAGGAACTGTCCATCCTGATCTAGAATGTGAATACAGTTGTTGTCATAGTCTGTAAGTAGGATCTGACTCTGGCTATCTGTTGTGATGCCAAGAGGATCAAAACCTGCCTTGGTAGAAGAGGGAGGACCAGTGTATCTAAATCGGAGTTTTCCTGCTTGATTAACCACCACTACAGCATGAGCATCACGGTCAGCCATACAGATATCCAGGTTCCTGTTCTCACTGATGTATTTAATATCACCAGATGAATACAGAGGGTTACCTTCACCATCAAACTGAATGATTTGTTTCTCTGTGGATCCAGAGTAACGGACAACTTTTGATTGTCTATCATCATCACTTGTCATGGTAACTAGGAGCTCATCAGAGGAGGTACTACAGACATACTGAGGTCTCCACCCTTGTATTCTGATCACTTCCTGTATCTGTTTCTTCACTATGTTTACAGTTCTTGTTTCAGGGTCAGTATAAACTAAATCTCCACTCCTTGTCATTGCTATGTCACGTGGATAATTTCCTGACTTGGTTTGGATTGACTTCAGTAGTTTGCCCTGGAGGTTGAAGAGTTTCATGATTTTGTCTTGTCCACGTGTACAGATTTTTTCATCACTGAGACAGGTAACACCATATAGTCTATACCCAGTGTATATGGTGGTGATGAGCTCTGGTTCATCAAACAGTGGTTTGACTTGAGGAGATGATACAGCTTCTGGTGTCTTCATTGTGTAGCCATGTTCTTCTGTTGTAATGGATAATGCTGACAGAGAGCCAAACATTTGATGGAGATGTTCTGTGTTGATCTGTTGAGGAGAGAAACTTGGTAATGAAACGTTGACGTCTGGAGGTAAACTTCTGAACTCTGCATTTCTGGACCTGTATAGAAAGGCTAAGGAAATATCATTGGATTGTAGAATTTCCTTTAGGTCAACAATATTTTGTTTTACTTCTGCAGAAATGTGTTTGATTTCTTTTTCCTGTTTATTTAGAGCAGCCAGGTGTTTAGATTCCATCTCATCAATGTCAGACTTTCGTTTGTTGACAATGGTGTCAATTTCTCTGTGCCAGTCTTCTCCCTGTTCTGTGACATCTCTTGTCAGTTTCCTGTAGTGTGTTTCTAAGTTGTCTTTCTTGGTTTTTATGCCAGATGCAATTTCTTCATATTTTGGGTAAATTCTAGTCTCAAGTTCTTTTAATTCTTTTTCCATGTATTTTGTTTTGGAGCTGAGTTTTTGTAAAACATCTGATAAATGATGTCCTCTATGATTACCTGAGGAAATGCAGGTAGAACAGACAGGAATGTCACATTGCTCACAATAAAGTTCACAGTTCTTGGAATGCTTTTGACATTTTGGATAGTTAGGAGTTGATGTTCTTTCTTTATATGGTACTACTCTATGTTTTTTGGTTGAATCAGAGAGATGCTCTCCTACACAGGTCTTACACAGGTTGACATGACAAAGCTCGCAGTGACTTTGTACTACATGTCTCTCACAAAGGTTACACCTAAGGATGTCTTGAGCACTGTACCGGGGGTCCATTACGGTAACCGATGTTACAGCCACTAGCTCAGGTGAAAGTCTGCAATAAATGTGGAGAAGATTTGTTCCACTGATAAAATGTTCTTTAAATTATTGACCTGTGACTTACTGATACAAAAAGCTAGACTAGTTCTTGAAAATATTGTGTTTAGATTGAGGAATTGGATTAGATATCATGAAACCTAAAAAGTATTTTTGAATGATTAAAAAGTAAATTATCGGACACACCTATGACCTAATTTGAATTTCTGAAATCCTTCATCAACCATTAAGTTACAGACAAGATTAGTATCTATAATGTTTTAGTCCTTCATAAAAACAATAATTTAATCATTTGGGGAATAAATAAAAATACAATTCTTATTTAAAAATAAGGTAAAACAACTTTCATTTTGTCTTACCTGTTACAATATGGCTCCCGGCCGACAACAATATTACTTCCTGGTTCTGTTATCCGTCATCACGTGACTAAATGCCATTTAAAACACGAAGTTGAGTGTGTTGTATTCAATTTATTTCACAATCTGATTTCATATTTTTTTTTAATGTGAATTTAGTTTTGACAATTTTTGTTTTACAAAAACCTGAAGGCAGTCACTACTGTAATGCATCAAATGGAACTTTGAAATAATTGGATCTCCTTAACAGATTAGGAGGGAATAAACTGTTTTTTGTTTGTTTCGAAACATATTAATCTTGTCAAATTATCTAAATAAATGCACACTGTTATAGATTATACAATTACAACTTAAAAAGATATTTAAAAGAGTTATAGTGTACATTTAATATGTTGATCTGTTTTATGAATGATGTTAAACTACAGTCATATATTTAAACTAGAGCAAAGCTCGTTGCAAAGCAACGAGTAGGTCTTCCGTCCTGTTTTGCCCGGAAGTGACGTTAACAAAAGAAAGCAATGAGCTAAGTCCTCTCTAGTCATTTTAAAATTTCAATTTTGCATCAAAACCTTAAAAAATAAGCTATTTTGGGCTACTTCCGGTTTGACCGGAAGTGACGTCGACGGACGGAAAATTAAGTTTTACGCTTCCAGTGTCATATGTTACCCAAAAACCTGTCAAGAACGGCAAAAATATGCATTTTCTGACGACTTCCGGTTTGACCGGAAGTGACGTCGCTGGACGCATTTTGACGACTTCAATAAATTAAGCTTGACATGTTCAACAGCTTTGCTTCTTTGACGTATAACAAATTCTCAATACTTTTTGAGATATCTGGAAAAAACTTTGGCCCCTCTAGATCCCTTAATTTAGGGGTCAGCCCTTTTTTCGAGATTTCATTCAAAAGATCTTGTAATTTTGTACAAATTTTGTTCTATATGTTTTTACAAAATAGTTTTAGTTTAGAAGATAAAAAGCAAAATACGTGTAAATTTTCGCTCTTTTAGGCGTTCTAATTTTTGACCCCTATATAGCGCCATTTTGAATAGAGAAATCGAGAAACAAAAACCGCTATGCACAACTTCAATCCTTCTTTTGTGTAAAATCAGTCAAATTTCTGCTCCAGCTTTTGCCATATCCGAGCCTTTGTCTGGAAATGAAAGCCTATAAATTTTTGTTCAAAGGGCAATAACTCAAAACCGGAAGTGAATTTTTGAAATGCTAAACAAAATTCCGATAGAGTTTAGTAACGTCTATAAACTCTGAAAATTTGAGCAAAATCCATTGAGAAATGAGTGAAATATGAGGCCTCAAAGTTGGCGTCTAGGAACAGAAAAAAAAAAGAATAATAAGAATGAATCAGTAGAAGGTCTTCCGTTGGAAACAGAAGACCTTAAATATATTTAAGGGTACAGAACACGAACAAAAAATAGATGAATGGATTGATATATTTTTTGACTGATTTTAATTTGAAAAAAAAATTGTTTGTATTATTTATCCTTAATTTTTTTTTAATTAACAAAGAAAAATATCAATAAAATTTCAAAATACCAATTGGTAAAAATAAAATGATTTTAAAATAGTTTTACTACAATTATTGATATCATCGATATTTTAATTGGATATATATGTGTGCTCTATGTTACATTCATTTCAAGTATGTATTAAAAATACTAAACATACCCTTTTCGTACCATATTCTGCATCTATTAGCTCCTTAGCCCTCTGGCTGATACTGGTATCATGGGTTGATGCATGGTGCGATATTTAAAAGGGTATAATTTATTCACTTTATATCTGTAACACAGACAGGTTGGATCCTCCGCTTGGTTTGAACCCAGAACCTCTGGCAAGTGAGTTCGATTCATTGTTTTACTGATTGTTCCAACTGCTTTAAAACATGCTAGCCCAAGCTAGTATATAGCAATGCATCACACACTACAAAATAACCTCCTCAAGAGAAAGAGATGTCCTCACCTCTTGAGTAATACACATGTACTATAAGATAAATATATTATCTCAATCTACCTACATGGTGCATTCTGGGTCAATCAATTTCTTCCACCAGAGAATACCTGGTCCATATGTTAGTGCTTAATGATACTGAGAATACTGTAAACCAACTTTCATTCGCGTACGAGAAATTTTCGCGAAGTTCGCGAGAGTCTGGTAATCGCGAATATTTCTCGCCGCGAACCAATCCTTAAAGTGTCATTGTTTATTAACAACATATCTAAAAAGGCTTAATCGCGAAAATTAATCGTCGCGAACTAGTTTAACCCTGGTTATTCGCGAAATAAAGTCGTGTCGAATTAAAGTTGGTTTACAGTAGTTTGTGCCTTTCTGATTTTTACTTGTTTACATCTAATTAATTGAAATATGTGGAGATAACAAACAGTATTCAACTGCCAATTGTAAATCATTCAGGCCTTATGACATGTTTCGGTGTGCAGTTTTTAATCCAGAACAAATGGGAAAGAGTTCTCTTATATCTGTGTAACAATAATAACATATCCAATCTTTGTAGCATTAAATTCATGACCTCACACAAAAATTTAACACTATTTTTTGTATCACATTTTTATTTTGGGTCAACAAAATTAATACGAAAACAAATTGAGGAGTTGTCTGTCTTTATACTTCATTATAAGGTTTGAGGGAGAGTCTCGGAGCAATGTTCATTGACTGTAATTCCTGGAATAACAGTTTACAGGCGTACGGCATTTTGAGAGTGGACACGTGACGTGAAGATTTACAGAACTCGCACCAGCCCGAGTATCCCAGAAGGCCACATTCACCGCAAACATCCACCTCAAAGGCATCACTGGATATCATCAGTCTCTCCAACAACAGCATACTGTAATGTTATAAATAAATCATAATATCAACATTATGTATTCTTAAGCCGCGTGACGTAACGTAAATAAACAAATACATGTGCATGATGGAGAGAATGACTTACTTTGTCAAATATCACTTTATTTAATATATTTTAACAAATCTTCATTTATGAATAAAAGAAAAAGTACTGAAAGACTTTCTTTCTTTTATTTTTTCATGCACTATTTCATACAGCGTAATATTATTTATTACATTATTTGGTCGGAGGTAATTGAAAGGGAACTTTAAATTAGAAATAAAGATTAAATACACATTTATAGTGAACAAAAATATGTGATAAAAAGAATCTACCATGGTTTGTTGTTGGATATGATTTTTATCTAACTCGCCAAGGCTAGGGGATAAAATCACACAACTCTTTGGATAAAAATCATATCAAACCACAAACCATGGGAGATCCTATATTTATCTCAAATACACATATGCAATAGGACAGCCTCAATTTAATCTTGCTCTATTAACAATAACAATGTTCAAAATCTCACTTCTTTAACAATACACTAACAAGGTCCAAAATCTCACTCCTTGAGTAAAATACACAAACCTTGCTCCATATCCAATGAGACAATCTCGCTCCATCTCCCCCAGTATCAGGCCACCATCTCGAGATCGGCCCTCTGTGGGTTGTCGAGTCAATACAGCTCGCGGACCTTTGGCTCGGGCGTGCATTTTATCTAGGACCATGTGCTTCAGTTTCTGGTAGTATATGGGAGCAAAGAAAATGTAGGCCTCAAGTGGTTCCCTACAGAAACAAAAAACAATTTTTACTTCCCTTGATATCTACAGTTAATCTTTCGGGTTAAGTTTTTGGACTTAACATTTCTTTCATTATAAGTTACCCTGTTATTCCTGAGGTGACAAAATCTTTGCCGAGATAATTAAATCCGTGTCTGACCAAATCTTCTGAGAGATCACACACCTTGTCTCCACCAAAAGCTGAAATTAGTCACAAGACTGAATTACACAATAATAGACACAAATTGCTGAATTTTGCCTTGGCCTCCAGAACATTTAGTTCAAAATAACACGAACACTTGTTTTCTTCTTAAGTTCTACCTCCATGCAACTTTTTTTTTATATAATATATACCGGTAGTTTGAAAAGTCAGAAAAGATGTTGTGAATGCAATGTTATTTTAACTTTTTTATCTGCTAATGAAATCTTAATTTTGCATTTACATAATTTACCTTGAATCCAGCATACAGGTTAACTGTTAAGTGAACAAAAGAATGACATGATTGCATGGAACACCATAGTTACCTGTTCCATAGTGGAATTTCCAGTCCAGGACACCAGCCTTACTCCCCATTAGCTCCATCAGTTTACCCACAGTCATTCTAGAGGGGTACCCATGGGGGTTCATAATCTGAAGGTCAAACATAAAACAAATGAAGGTCAAACAGTGAAGGTCATACATAAAACACAGTCATTCTGGAGGGGTAGCCATCGGGGTTCATTATCTGAAGGTAAAACAATATAGATCATATATGGTTGCGCCCATTGGAAAAGGGCCCTTATGGCAATTTTTATACATTTTGAGTTTTTCATGGATTTTGATAGAGTAAAGGTAGACGTTGTCAGATATGAATTTTTATGGTCCTACGCGTCTACTCTATGTAGCTTTTTTTCTTCATTTTTATCTAAGATACTTTAACAAGTTCATAATGACCTCATGTTTTCAACTACGTCAAACGTTTTCAGAGTGAACGTAAAATGAATTTCTTCTGCAAATTTACTACGGTAATTAATAGTTGTATAATATTTAATATTTACTCATGCACATTATTTTTATCTCATTGTCTCTTTTAACTATTAATAATTATATATATATAATAAAATTATATTGTTAATATTGCATTGTAACAACGTATATGTAGTATACCAAATAAATACCTATCTATCTGTCTGTCTGTCTGTCTCTCTCTCTCTCTCTCTCTCTCTCTCTCTCTCTCTCTCTCTCTCTCTCTCTCTATCTATCTATCTATCTATCTATCTATCTATCTATCTATCCAACTATCTATCTATCTATCTATCTCTATATCTATCTATCAAACTATCTATATATATATCTATCTATCTATCTATCTATCTGTCTCTCTGTCTATCTATCTATCTATCTATCTATCTATCTATCTATATATATATATATATATATATATATATATATATATATATATATATATATATATATATATATATATATATATATATATATATATATATATATATATATATATATATATATATATATATATATATATATATATATATATATATATATATATATATATATATATATATATATATATATATATATATATATATATATATATATATATATATATATATATATATATATATATATATATATATATATATCTATCTGTCTATCTATCTATCTATCTATATATATATATATATATATATATATATATATATATATATATATATATATATATATATATATATATATATATATATATATATATATATATATATATATATATATATATATATATATATATATATATATATATATATATATATATATATATATATATATATATATATATATATATATATATATATATATATATATATATATATATATATATATATATATATATATATATATATATATATATATATATATATATATATATATATATCTTCTCGCCACTTATCTATCTATCTTCACACCACTTCTCGTATTTATAGTTGCACAGTACTCTTGAAGTTTTTCTTTCACTACTGTCAAAGTAAAAATCAATCTCTGAGCTGCACGTTTGATGTTGTTGCAATATTGTAATTAAGTTATTTAAATGACAGAAAAAATAACATTTATAAACTTTCATTCTTTATATTTCAAACGGAAGAACTATTTAATTATATGCTTTGATTAAAGCACAATTTTATTATTGTATTCCTGTACAAAATGATTTGTTTTTTAATGCTATACATTTCTTTGTTGACATTTTCCTTTTGAGAATAGAAATAATTCTTCAATTTAGTCTTATTAAACATATTGGTTTAAATTACATACAGAATTATCATAATAGCGTACTTTAACAGCAAAATAAATTTCCCCAAAATGCAGCTCATATTGCTTTAAGTGATTAGCTGAATAATATTATTTCTTATTCACAATATTTTTGACAGGATGCAGTGTTTACATGTATTTGATTTTCTTCACTTTGCTACTGTTACACTCAGCCACAAAGAGGTTGTCTCTGGTATCTACACATAAACCCCATGGACACTGTAGACCACAGTTATCAATGTAACGGAGGAACTGTCCGTCCTGATCTAGGATGTGGATACAGCTGTTGTTACTGTCTGCGATCAGGATCTGACTCTGGCTGTCTGTTGTGATGCCGACTGGATCAAATGATCCCTTGGAAGTAGAAGGATGACCAGTGTATCTAAATCTGAGTTTTCCTGCCTTATCAACCACCACGACGGCTTTGTCTATATTGTCAGATACACAGATATCAAAGTTTCTGTTCTCATAGATGTTCGTATTAGACCAAAATGAATACAAGGGTTTACCTTCAGTATCAAACTGAATGGTTTGTTTCTCTGAGGAGCCAGAGTAACGGACAACTTTTGAATATTTATAATTATCACTTGCCATGGTAACCAAGAGGTCACCAGAGGAGGTACTACAGACTGACCTAGGTATCCACTCCTGTAGTCTGATCACTTCCTGTATCTTGTCATTCTTCACTATGTTTACAGTTCTTGTATCAGGATCAGTATAAACTAGATATCCACTCCTTGTCACTGCTATGTCGCTTGTTTTGTTCGTTGACTTGATTGACTTCAGAAAATTACCCTTCAGGTTGTAAAGTTTCATGATTTTGTCATTTCCACGTATCCAGATTCTATCATCACTGAGACAGGTAACACTGTATAGACCGACATACCCAGTGTCTATGGTGGTGATGAACTCTGGTTCATCAAGCAGTGGTTTGACTGGAGGACAGGATACAGCTTCTTTTGTCTTCATTGTGTAGCCATGTTCTTCTGTTGTAATGGATAATGCTGACAGAGAATCAAACATTTGATGGAGCTGTTCTGTGTTGATCTGACGAGGAGAGAAACTTGGTAATGACATGTTGACTTCTGGAGGTAAACTTCTGAACTCTGCATTCCTTGACCTGTATACGGAGGCTAAGGAAATATCATTGGATTGTAGAATTGTCTTTAGATCACCAATACTCTGTTTTACTTCTGCAGTAATGTGTTTGATTTCTTTTTCATGTTCACGTAGAGCAGCCAGTTGTTTAGATTTCATCTCATCAAATTCAGATGTTCGTTTGTTGACAATGTTGTTAATTTCTCTGTGCCAGTCTTCTCCTTGTTTGGTGACAGCTGTTGTTAGTTTCTCGTAGTGTGTTTCTACGTTCTCTTTCTTGGTTTTTATGCCAGCTGCAATTTCTTCATATTTTGGGTAAATTTTAGTCTCAAGTTCTCTTAATTCGTTCTCCATATCTCTTGTTTTGGAGCTGAGTTTTTGTAAAACATCTGAAAAATGATGTCCTTTATGTTTACCTGAGGACAGACAGTTAGAACAGACAGGAATGTCACATTGCTCACAGTAAAGTTCACAGTTCTTGGAATGCTTTGGACATTTTGGATAATTAGAACATGTAGAAGCCGAGGTTCTCTCTTTATATGGAACAACTCTATGTTTTTTGGTTGAATCAGAGAGATGCTCTCCTACACAGGCCTTACACAAGTTGGTATAACAAAACTCGCAGTGACTTTGTACCACATGTGTCTCACAGTGGTCACACCTTAGGATGTCTTGAGCACAATACCGGGGATCCATACTGATGATTCAGCCACTTACTCAGGTGAAAGTCTGCAATAAAAGTTGAGAAGTTTAGTTCCACTGATAAATTGCTCTTTAAATTATTAACCTGTGACTTACTGATACAAACATCAAGTTCTTGAAAATATTGTGTTTACAATAGATTTGAGGAAATGGATATAGATATTATTTCCTAAAAAGGAACTTTTTTCTTCAAGATTGAATGATCGAATTAAAGATCATTATATTTGAGAAAAAGTTAATTATCAGACACACCTATGACCTAATTCAAATTACAGAATTCCCTCACAAACCATTAAGTTACAGAAAAACTTAGTATCTATAATATTTTAGTCCTTCATAAAAACAATAATCATTTGGTGAATTAAAAATATAAATCCTACTTTAAAAATAGATAAAACAACTTTTATTGTGTCTGACCTGATATAATATGGCACCCGGCCGACAGTAATATTACTTCCTGTATCTGTTATCTGTCTTCTGGTCACGTGATTTAAATACCACTTAAAAACTTTAAACTGCTACGTCTGATTCCATTTATGAAGTTGGGTGTGTTGTATTCAATTTATTTCACAACCGGATTTCGCATTTTTTTATTGAATTTAGTTCTGACTATTATAATTTTCTTTTGCAAACATTAGAAGGCAGCCACCGTGATGGACCATTATAAGACTGAAAAAAATGAATCTCCTTAACAGATAAGGAGGAATAAACTGTTTTTTTTTTCACTTTGCGTTCTTTAGTTGTTTCAAAACATTGATCAGTGTCAAATGACCTAAATAAATGTACACTGTGACAGATTATACCATACTGTGACAGATTATACCATATAAATAGTTTTCGATTGACCTAAATTAAGCAAGAGTTACTTCCCGTTGGCGCCATACTGGAGGTCCAAATGCTCATATTCCTTCATTGTTTAACCAATTTTAAATTTTTATATTTGCGATTTTGAATTAGGAATCGTTATTTTTCTGAAGTAAATAATTTTTTGGAAGCCTCCTTTATTTCAATAAAAAATATTTCATAACGATTTATCACCAAATATTTCTGCTATATTTTCTTAAACTTGGTAAGACAAGGAGGAAAACTCACCGAGTCGACCTCCAATATGGCGGCCAACGGGAGGTAACTTTTGCAGGCCCATTGAAAACTATCTATTGCAACTGAGAGATCTTTTCCTGCTTTCAAAGAGTTATATTGTATATTTAAATAATTTAATTTTGTTTGTATTCTAGTCTCTCATTTGTTGATTTCTAAAAAGGAACGCAAAATATTTCTCAATAACCTGGTTTGGTATGGGGACACACCCCCTTGATAACCACCTAAATCATCTAGGGATGTATTATTGAGCGACAAATTTGAACTCATAAAAAGCAGCACAATTTTACACCCACAACTATTTAATTATTTTAAAATTAAATTATAAGGAATGACTCTAATTCTTGGCCAAATTATTCGATTATAACCTTGTTTGGGTCAGTTAATTTACGCTTTTTTTATAATTCGCTTCGCGGATTATAAAGCGTAAACTGCCCCAAACCAGCGTCAGGTTATAATCGAATATTTTGGCCAAGAGTTAGAGTCATTCCTTAATTATTAAGATCTGTTTTGTGGATGATGTTATATATACAGTGATATATCTAAAATAAATTGACCGTGGGGATCCGGGTTAGAATAGGTCCTCAGTACCCCCTTGCTTGTCGTAAAAGGCGACTAAATGGGGCGGTCCTTCTGATGAGACCGTATTAACCGAGGCCCCGTGTCACAGGAGGTGTGGCACGATAAAGATCCCTCCCTGCTCAAAGGCTGTAAGTGCCGAGCATAGGCCTACATTTGCAGCCCTTCACCGGCAATGGTGACGTCTCCATATCAGTGAAATATTCTGGAGAGGGACGTTAAACAATATACAATCAATCAATCTAAAATAAATTTTATTTTTTTTTAAATATAACAAAGAAAAATATCTATATAATTACAATATACCAATAGGTAAAAATATAATATTCAAATGCTTTTATTACAATTATTGATATCATCGATAATTTAATTGTTGATATTTTAATTGTATAAGCTCAAATAGGTATATGTGCTCTATGTTACATTCAATACAAGTATGCATTAAAAATACTAAATATACCCTTTTCATACCATATTCTGCATCTACCATCCACCAATACCAGCCCATCAATCCTCTGGCTGATACTGGTTTCATGGGTTGATGCAGTATGCGAAAAGGGTACGTTTTCTTCTGTATATACATGTATATGTAACACAGACAGGTCCCTCCGCCTGGTTTTGAACCCAGAATCTCTGGTAATGGTGCCCATTGCTCTACTGATTGTGCCAACAGCTAAACACGCTAGAACAAGCTCGTATAAAGCTATGCATCACACACCACAAAACACCCCCCTAAACGTAATGAGATGCCCTCCTCTCTTTAGTAATACACATGTACTATTAGATAGATACCAGGGGCCAGTTTTACAAAAGAACTTATGACTAAGACCAAAAAACTTCAGATGACTGTAAAATTTTGCTAAATTAATAACTTTCTTTGAAAGTGTTTGTAAGTCCTTTTGTAAAACGGGCCCCTGATCGCATCTACCTACAAGTATGTGGTGTATTCTTGGACAATAATTTTTAACAATGAGAGAATACCTGGTCCATATGTGTGTGCCAAATGTAACAGAGAAGGGTTTTGCCTACAGGGTTCTCCATCATTTGAAATTTTACTGTGTTGCAGAGTTTACGCGAAGCACTAAAATTTCGCGGCATTTTCGCGATCAAATTCACAACTGAATTACTATTAATTATAATTACAAAAGAATACATCATACACTCCTTTTAAAAATTACTAATTTTGTTACACAAATAGTATGGTCGTACATATTAATAAAAGTAAAAACACATGTTCTGAAAAACGGAGGAAATTCTGGTCGATACAGTCGAACTATTTACCATTTTGAAAGTAAATTTGCCATGATTTTTGTCAGTTTTCTTAATCGAATAACATTATTATCGATTACAAAAAAAAGAAACTTCAAAATATTTAAAGACTTTTATGAGCTCCTTGAAAAATTAAAACAATTTATTTACATCAAGAAAATGATTTCGGTACGATGGTTATAGTTATGTTTGACTTACCGCAGTACCAATATAATTCTAAAGCCTCAGATCTAGAGAAAAGACATATTGTTTAAAAAATAGTACAATGTATTTTATAATGCAACTACCAATTAACCGTTACATACAAGTGTAAAAGCAAATTATTTGTCTTTGTTCCTTTATGCGTCAAGTCCGGCGAGGGTCTAGGGGATAATTGATTATGCAAGGTAAAGCCCTAATTAAGTGCTCTACCTGTTATAATTGAAGACGGTAGGATTGTTTGATTAAAGTTTCAATTAGATAGAATTTATGTGTTTTGATTTTCACAGATCTTACTGTGTCGGCAAAATTTTTACTGTGTCGCACACATAAAATTTGAATCGTTACTGTGTCGGAGAAAATTTTACTGTGTCGGGAGCAACACAGTAAAACAGCACATGGAGAACCCTGTGCCTATGATTACAACTTGACGTCTCAGCAAAACAAGTCGGTTTAAGAGAAACCTTGTCAGCTATAATAATTTGGAATGGTTTAATATTTTGAAGCAAAAAGGATGATATTCTAAGTTGAAAAACTCTTACAAATCCACTATCCAAGAAAAAGGGGACTCTTTAATCTCTATATCTTACAGGTACTTGGACACAGATTATTCTCTCTATAATATTACGACTTATATATTTTAATAGCATTTCATACAAAAATTAATTAAAAATCTTATTTCGTTTAAAAGATATTGAAATTTCAAATTTTTCGGTGGGTTTGATTGACATATCCTTGCACTCTCACAAATTTAATTTTATTCTTAATCCTTAGGAAAAGTGGCAATCTTGTTTTGTATAAATGAAAAATATTAATACTATAATCCAGAAAATTCAGAGTAGACACGTTCGAAAGCAAAACAAACACACAATATATTATTAGTCCGTGCAGATGTGGTACGCAGACTGTGGCGATTGAACGCACTCGGTGAATTCTAAATATAAACAATAACAGAACTCGAGCCCTGTTTACAAAAACTATGTACGTAACACGAGTGTGCTCGATTTGCTAAACTCTGTTCACATCTCTTAGTTCGGAATGACGATACTTGTGAAGGTGTTTTGCTTTCTAACATTTCTACTCTGAATAAAATTATTTTTCTTGATAAAAGTTTTAATATTTCTCATTAAAACACATTAAAATTGCCACTTTTCCTAAGGATTAAGAAAAAAGTTAAAATTTGTGAAGGTGCTAGGATGTGTCAATCAAACCCGCCAAAAAATTTAAAGTTTTAATAACTTTTAAATGAAATAAGATTTTTAATTAATTCTTGTGTGAAATGCTATTAAAATATATATAAGTCGTGATATTATACAGAAAAAAATGAGAAAATATTAACTTCAAATCTGTGTCCAAGTACCTTTAACTCGGGTTGTTGGTCATGTTGGTGGAAGAGTCCATTAATGTTCAAGGTTTTTTTTTTTTACACAAAATTGTGACAAAAAGGAGGAGAGGTGAATTATTCAAACTTTCAGTGAACTTTTTCAACTGAAACAAATTTTAAACCCCCTCCTGTTTTTTGTGCCTGAATCTTAATTCACCTGGCAAATTGATATAAAAGCTTTTTTTTTTTAACTATTCCTAATTAAAAAGTTGGCAAAGGAAGTTACAAGACTGTCAATGAACACTTTCAAACTAAAGCATTAGTTAAAATCATGCTCAGACAAAAAGGGGTGCACATCCCACCTGATTCTATGTGCATAGATGTTGTCTAGAGCTAGGTAGTGAAAATTAATTTTTGTGTTTTACCATTAAAAACGTGTCTTAAATAAATCATTAATAAAAAGTCTAACATTTCCAATGTTTTAGAGAGTGGTTAAAATATGCTGAGTGATGAAATAATGCACTGCCAAGAGCGAGGGGTGTCCAGAGGGGACCGCAACATTTTATAGTATTCTGTTATAGTAAATATTCTTTTAGATGATATAGTTGCTCCCCTTACATTTATTGGCTGTAAGGTCCAGCACTGATCAATTATCACAAACATGAAACCAATGCAAGATGTGTCAAAATAAAAAGTAAAAGGTATATAGCAAAAATTTAATTGCAGTGTTCTCTGACAACATGCGATATTCATTTCTTATGCATTTAATTACATAGTATTTACATGTATTTTATTTTCTTCACTTTACCACTGCAATACTCAGCCACAAAGAGGCTGTCTCTGGTGTCTACACATAAACCACATGGATTCTTTAGTTCACAGTTAACAACGTAATGAAGGAACTTTCCGTCCTGATGTATGATGTGGATACGGTTGTTGACACAGTCTGCTATCAGGATCTGACTCTGGCTGTCTGTTGTGATACCGTATGGAAAGAAAAATTCCTTTAAAGTAGAGGTATATCTAAATCGGAGTTTTCCTGCCTGATTGACCACCACTACAGCATTTGATTCATTATCAGCCACACAGATATCCAGGTTCCTGTTTTCACAGGTGTATTTTAAAAAGCCACTAGATAAGTAGAGAGGTTTACCTTTACTATCAAACTGAATGGTTTGCTTTTCAGAAGAGCCAGAGTAACGGACAACTTTTGATTGTTTAAATTCATCACTGCACATGGTAACCAATAGATCACCAGAGGAAGTACAACAGACATATAAAGGTATCCACCCCTGTAGTCTGATCAATTCCTGTATCTGTTTATTCTTCACTATATTTACAGATCTTGTATAAGAGTCAGTATAAACTAGATCTCCATTCCTTGTCACGGCTATGTCAATTGTTTGTCTCCCTGACTGTGATGTGATTGACTTCAGTAGTTTGCCCTGGAAATTGTAGAGTTTTATTATTTCGCCATTTCCACATGTCCAGATTTCATCATCTCTGAGAAAGGTAACACTGCGTAGTGGTTTATACCCGGTGTCTATGGTGGAAATAAGCTGTGGTTCATCAAGCAATGGTTTGACTGGAGGACAGGATACAGATTCTGGTGTTTCAATTGTGTAGCCATGTTCTTCTGTTGCAATTGATAATGCTGACAGAGAACCAAACATTTGATGGAGCTGTTCTGTGTTGATTTGCTGTGGAGAGAAACTTGGTAATGAAACGTTGACTTCTGGAGGTAAACGTCTGAATTCTGCATTTTGGGATTTTTATACAGATGCTAAGGAAATATCATTGGATTGTAGAATTTTCTTTTGGTCAATGATACTCTGTTTTACTTCTGCAGTAATGTGTTTGATTTCGTTTTCCTGTTCACTTAGAGCAGCCAGGTGCTTAGATTTCATTTCATCAATTTCAGATTTCTGTTTGTTAACAATGATGTTAATTTCTCTGTGCCAGTCTTCTCCTTGTTTGGTAACAGCTGCTATCAATTTCCTGTAGTGTGTTTCCAAGTTGTCTTTTTTGTTTTTTATGCCTGATGCAATTTCTTCATATTTTGGGCAAATTCTTGTCTCAAGTTCTTTTAATTCTTTTTCCATGTCTTTTGTTTTGGAGCTGAGTTTTTGTAAAACATCCAATAAATTATGTCCTATATGTTTATTTGAGGAAGTACAGGTAGAACAGACAGGAATGTCACATTGCTCACAGTAAAATTCACAGGTCTTGGAATGCTTTTGACATTTTGGATAGTTAGGAGTTGATGTTCTTTCTTTATATGGTACGACTCTGTGTTTTTTGGTTGATTCAGAGAGATGCTCTCCTACACAGGCCTTACACAGGTTGACGTGACAAAGCTCACAGTGACTTTTTACTACATGTCTCTCACAAAGGTCACATCTTATGATGTCTTGAGCACTATACCGGGGGTCTATACTGATGATTCAGCCACAATAGCTAAGGTCAAAGACTTGCTGCAATTAAAGTAGGGAAGAAAAGTGATGGTTAAATACCACTGATTAAATGCTCAAGAAATTAACTCTGTGATAAAGAGTTCTTGAAAATAAAACGTTTACAATAAAAATAATGGAATAGAAACTGCTATTTAAAAAGAATCACTCTTGATGCAAGTTGATTTTGAATGATCGACTTAAAGATCACTATACTTGAGGAAATGTAAATTATCAGACACACCTATGAATGGCCTAATTAAAAATTCAATTCCTTTTCCAACCGTTACAGACAGGCTATCCATAATATTAAAAAAAATCCTTCATTATATCAATAATTTACTTACTTGGGTAATTAAAAATACAAATGGTACTAAGTAACAAAGAAAAAACAGCGTTATGTATCATGTCTGACCTGTAAATCTAACATGGCTCCCGGACGACACCAATATTACTTCCTTCTTCAGTTATCTGTCCAAGCCTGTGATTTGGTCACGTGACTTAAATACCTGATTGGTGTATGTATTGATCTCTGTTTAAAATTTGACACGTCAGGTCAAATTTCTGTTCTTAAGTTAAATATACACATGCAACCAATTCTAATTTTCATAACCCATGATTATTTAAAATTTTATACTGCTTAGTTTTAGCTGAAGTCAGGTCAGATTTTACCTATGAAGTTGAAGTGTGTATAGCTTATTGTATAACCCTTGGTTACTTTTTTTTATTGAAAGTCTTGAAAATTATTTTTTTTTAAATCCCTGAAAGCTTAATGTCTAAACACATAAACAAGAATATGCTTGATGATTGATTATAGGTTGTTCAATCAACGTCCATCTTGAGAATGTTTTGCACTCATATGGAGACGCTATAAACAAGACTATGAAGGAATGCGCATGCACTAAATGAAATTTATACTAACTTGTTTGAAAATCAATTTCCACCAAAAACTATACACGCTAAATATAATACATTTACAGTAATTGACCTTCCTAAACAAATAAGGAAGGAATACACTGCTCTTTTCTAAGTTTCTTCAATTGTTTCAAAACATGTCAATCTTGTCATGACTTGAATGATACATACTAGCAGAAAGGATAATTATGAGAAATGCAATAAGTTACGACTTCAGCTTAATAAGTTTGACATTTGAGTTTGAAAAAAAGAAATCGATAATTTCAATATTGTTTAAATATTACGCCTTAGTACGTACATGTATTTATCATAATACATTTTACTCATCACATTATACGAGGGACATTAAAAAATTACGCAGACTTGTTGCACATAAAAAATGTTGGACGACATAATCGGGCAAAATGTCACACGTACATGTAAAATAAAAGAATCTTTACTTATATGTTCTTCAAAATTTCATATTAAAATATTGTAAATTGGTCTCAAAATTGAGTGATTTTTCAGGACATATCACTGAGTCACGGAGCAGCAAAATCTTCGACGTCATAGGCATCATACATGTTGGTGTCCAGTCATGCAAGTCGTACACAAACCGAGTCGTACACAAAAAGTCAACTCGTACACAAAAAAGGTCAACTCGTACGCAACCTAGAAGTCAACTCGTACACAACATTTATATACAAATGTTATGAATTAATCTTAGACGAATAATGATTAATCTATAAAAAAGTAAATAAATAAAAGCGAAGAGAAGTTTTACTTTTCTTCTTTAATCCTTAATTTTGATAAATACTAAATTAATTCAACTTCTTTGGGTTTTATTTACAACTGTTAGGAATCAGTTCTATGTGAATAATGTATAATCCAGAAAAAAATATAATAAGAACAAAGAAAAATGTTATTATTTATTTTTTTAAAGATTTATTTTCAAAAGCATGGTTAGCATGTTGGCTTGACATTTTAAATCAACCCGACTCAACCGTGGCTTCTCTTATTAGGTATTCATACAATTATTAAGGTCTTCCGTTTCCAACGGAAGACCTTCTACTGATTCTGAAGATTAAGATTATTCTTATTATTCTTTTTTTTTTTTTTGGCTTCCTAGACGCCAACTTTGAGGCCTCATATCTCACTCAATTCTCAATGGATTTTGTTCAAATTTTCAGACATTATAGACGGTAATAAACTCTATCAGAATGCTGTCGATATTTTCAAAAAGTCACTTCCGGTTTTGAGTTATTTCCCTTGAAACGAAAAATTATAGGCTCTCATTTCCAGACAAAGGCTCAAAGACCACTAGAGCTGGAGCAGAAATTTTACTGGTTTTAGATAACAGAAGGATTGAAGTTGTGCACATAGGTTTTTGTTTTTCGATTTCTCTATTCAAAATTGCGCTAAACTGGGGTCAAAAAATAGAACGCCTAAAAGAGCGAAAAATTACACATGTTTTCCTTTTTATCTTGAAAACTAAAAATATTTTGTTAAGACATGTAGAACAAAAGTTGTGCATAATTGCAAGGGCTTTCATATAATACTATTCAAAAGGGGCTGGCCCCTATGATTAGGGATCAAGGGAGCTTGAAAGTTTTTGCTTTATAACTCAAAAACGGTAAATATTTCGATCTGGATTATACGTACAAAATTGTTCTTTGACACCTTTTTAATCTGATGAAAATGTTTTGTGTTCCATTATACCGGGGGTATTGCGTAATACGTAGTTGAAAGCAGGCCATGTAAACAGGTAGCGTTTTTCATTCGGAAAGGAAATCAGAGCTCTTCATGTGTATAATTTACACAAACTTCCTTTCAGTAATAAACCCTATTATATTTAATGTTAATTTTCTTCTAAATAGGGCTTTATACGTGCTTTACGGTTCACTATTAAATTATTTATAACGATTAGTCTTTCTTTTTTAGTTTTTATTAATTAGTTTTATAGTGAACACGTCTTCATAAACGGAATATATTAAATCTATCTTTCTACATTGATTATTATAACAATTGTAAGTTATTTTAAGTTTATGCATCGAATAATTCATTCACGATCATTAGTTGTGTACATTTGGCGATCTCCAAGATCGCCTATAGATGTTTGTAACAGTTATGTAATCCAACACCCGAATCCCACGCTGTCGATCTAGGTCACTAGTGTACCAGCCACCTGTCGTACACAATGCAAGTGTCTGTGATGGTGTTTAAAGTCCATTGTGTACAAAGACCTATCAATTGATAGAAAATCATGTTTTTAATTTATCGAATCAATAAGAATACTTCACCGATCTTTCATTTAATCGTAATTCGAAACACTGGTGCATAAAACATTTTGAATTGTGATCGCTTTCTTTGGCCTGTTTTCACGCAAAAATTATTTCTCTATTCCGTGTTAATTTATTTTATTTAAATTGTAATTGAAAAGGGGCTTCGGCAAATATTATAATTTCAGTCTTGTGATACGGAAAGTACTATTATATACGTTTTATTTTTACCATTACTCTATTGTTTCTCCATTATTTTTTTTAAATATTTATAAACATTGAACGTTAAAAAAATACTTTAAAATATACTATTATTCACGTATTTGTAATAAACAGTTTACATCCAGCTTTGTCGCTTTGTGTCTAAAATTTTGTAGCCCAGTCCTCATTTACAAGCACGTGTCCGCAGATAGCAGCGGGTATGTCGATTTGAAAATCCGTTGTGTAATGGTATACTATTTCGTCCAATAAACAGAATATTTTACATGCCTGTACATGTACAATGTCAGTACGAATTTAATTGATGCAAAGCATCAAATTGGCTGCAAAGCAAAAAACTTCTTCCACATGCAGGAAAGCACGTCAAGATATTCAAAGCTGAAATAGTTTTTCAATTCTATTTCAGGCTGTTTTCAAAGGAAAATAAAAAATAATTTTACCGCATTTGCTCATAAATAGATTTATCGATGTTAAAGAAAATCATGTTCGTTGATGTATAAGAAGAATTTATTGTCATCAAAATGAAGGTGTAGGTCTGTCCGAGCCTCGATACCCTGGATCTTGATTACATGATACTAGTAATGCTCTTGGTTTCTGCAGAGCAGGCTATGCTGCAAACCGCAGTGCTAAATTAAAAAAAAAATTCTTCATGATCTTTGTGTCATTGGTAGATGTAGAGCAAATTCAAAACAATTTTACTAGAAGTTGAAAAACTTCTCATTTTTTTATTCACCATGCACTTTAACCACATCATCTTTATCCTGAAAATCAAGAGATTTCTTTTCAAATCTTACACACTCTCAGGCTGGGGAGTATCTGATGTAAACTCTTTTTATATGACCATAAATTATCGATGATCATGAGATATTAATGACAATAAAATTGAAATATATTTCAACATTTATTATTAAGTTTAAACAAGTTTTTAAAATATTTTACGCAAGATTTTGACTTGTTATAATTTACGAATTATTTTATTGAAGTAATAATAAAAAAACGTCTCATTTCCCCATGTGCACTCTCTAACACATACGGTGACGTCTCCATATAAGTGAAAAATTCTCGAGAGGGACGTTAAACAATATACAATCAATTAATCAATCTCTCTCATATGTTTTACTGTATTAATTATTTCTAGATTTCTAGATTTCATCTGTTTTAGTTAGCTAATTTATTGAAAATTTTCAAAAGTGCGTTAAGTGTCTCAATGGTAAAATATGTAGTTGTAAACTTTTAAGCACTTTTAAATTGTTTTCTCAAAGTGCGTTTAGTTGGTCTCAAATTTAATGCACTTTGAAAAGTTTTTTCAAAGTGCGTAATTTTTTTCAAAGAGCGTTGCCACAGTGCCTATTTACGAGTCGTGTTCAGCATTAATCTAAAGGAAAATTTATACAAGAAAACCTTTCGCGAGCATATTGACTAAATTACGGCGTAAATACGCTAAAATAGAGTTCTCGCAATGAAAAAAGAATTAACGGTATTATGCTGATGGTCTAAGGGGTGTGAAGAAAGTTCGTTTTATAATAAAACATGTTTGAAAAAGTTCAAGATGCTAGTAGTGTTAAACTTAAAAAAAATAAGCATTCTGTCACATTTACGGTGTTGTATTGTTTACTTGTCTTGTCAAGTGTTAATATTCACAGAGCAAGTGGGTTAAGTGAAAATTGTATTTCGAGGTAGATTAAAATCGTCATAATGACTTATATTACAGATATAATTCATTTATTACACTGTTTAAAGTACACAACTCATTAAGCAAACATTTTCTTCTTTCTTGACGTCTTAACAACACACAGTGTGAGAGACTGGGCTAAGTGAAACATAGATGGATAAAATTAGAATGTCTTAAAATAATTTGAAGCATCGATTTTGAAAGAAGGGAGGATATCATTAGTTGAAAAACTCTGACAAGTCCCTTATCCCAAAAAGAGAACTCTTTAAACTCCATATCTTATTTAGGGGTCGTTGGTGTTAGGGTCCATTAATGTTGATTGAGCAATTATTTTCACAAAGAATTGTAATAAAAAATTGGGGAAGGACATTCAGTCTCTCAGTTAACATTTGCAAATAAAGTAAATATTAAATCCAGTCCCCCTTATTTCTATGTGCCTGAATCTTAATTTCTCCTACACAATTGAAATGGATTTTTAAAATCAATTATGATTAATAAGTAGGTGAGAAAAGTCACAAGACTTTCAATGAACATTTTCAAACTAAAGTTGTAGAAAAAAATCATGTTCAGAGAAAGGGTGTACACAACTCACCCGATTCTATGTGCATGGATGTTTTCTTTTCAGAGTGAAATTCGGGTGCATGTAAAATAATTTTTCAGAACTAACTCTCTCAATTTGAAAGTTTTCAATCTAGTTTTAGTCTAAAACAGTAAAATATGTTAATTCTTTTGATATACCCTTGAAAATGTGCCTTAATAAATTCATTGCTAAAAAAATCAACTTTTTAAGTGTTTTAAAGTGTAGTAAACTATTCTATACAACTGAGTGGTGAAATATTGCACTACCCTGCCGTGTTCATACCCGTAGAGCACCAGGGCTGTCCAGCAGAGACCCCGACTTTTTATAGTATTCTGTTATAATAAATGTTCCTTTAGATGCTTGATATTCCCTTTCCTTTTATTTGCTGCAAGCTCCACCACTGAACAATTATCACAAACATGAAACCAGATGTGCCAAAATAAAAAATTTAAAAAGATATAGCAAAAATTTATTGACAGTGTTCACAGACAACACACGTTATGTTCATTACTAATGTTCTGTACAATTTGGTTTTTCAATTACTTATGTTTTTAATTACCAGCACAAACTCATAACTTCGTATAATTCACACACATGATTACTGTAGAAGTCCTTTTTTCGCGTACTTGGTATTAATTTATTAATTTACGCTATGTACGCTGTCACAAATTTTTCGCGGAAATTTGTCCAAGTGAACATAAATGTAAGGCATAAAGTGACAGTCTAGACGCGGATTACGCAGAATTATGACCCCGTGGAAAAAAGTACGTCTACAGTATTATTATCATTATTATTTTTACAATCTATTACATGTAATATATTTCAGAATATTGATTGAATATAAGGGCGTTTTTTCCTTAAATAAATAAAAATTCATAACATTATAAAGAATACTATTATATAAATTTGATAAATACTCATCTTTTTTAACTAATCCTTTTACTCAGACATATTTATAACTCTTTAACTCTAGCTAATGGATAGCTGAATAATATTTTTTTCTTATTTACAATCATTTTATAACATAATGCAGTGTTTACATGTATTTGATTTTCTTCACATCACCACGGACACACTCTGCTACGTAGAGGTTGTCTTTGGTGTCTATGCTTAAACCCCATGGCAAGTTTAGATCACAGTTGTCAATGTAACAGAGGAACTGTCCGTCCTGATCTAGGATGTGGATGCAGTGGTTATCATAGTCTGCTGTAAGGATCTGACTCTGGCTGTCTGTTGTGAGGCCGTTTGGATTAAATGCTCTCTCGGTAGAAGAGGGATGGCCTGTGTATCTAAATCGGAGTTTTCCAGCCTGATTTACTACCACTACTGCACCGTCTCCATTATCAGCCACACAGATATCTAAGTTCCTGTTCTCACTGATGTATTTAATAATACCAGATGAATACAGAGGTTTACCTTTTCTATCAAACTGAATGGTTTGTTTCTCTGTGGAGCCAGAGAAATGGACAACCTTTGATTGTTTATAATTATCACTGACCATGATAACCAGGAGGTCACCAAAGGAGGTACTACAGACATTGTAAGGTATCCACCCCTGTAGTCTGATCACTTCCTGTATCTGGTCATTCTTCACTATGTTTACAGTTCCTGTATACTCATCAGTATAAACTAGATCTCCACTTCTTGTCACTGCTATGTCACGTGGTTCATTCCCTGACTTGGTTTTGATTGACTTCAGTGCATTGCCCTGGAGGTTGTAAAGTTTTATGATTTCGCCATTTCCACTTGTCCAGATTTCTTCATCTCCGAGAAAGATAACATTGTATAGTGGTATATACCCAGTGTCTATGGTGGTGATGAGCTCTGGTTCATCAAGCAGTGGTTTGACTGGAGGAAAGGATACAGCTACCGGTGTCTTCATTGTGTTACCGCATTCTTCTGTTGTAATGGTTAATGATGACAGAGAACCAAACATTTGATGGAGCTGTTCTGTATTGATCTGATGAGGAGAGAAACTTGGTAATGAAACGTTCACTTCTGGAGGTAAACTTCTGAACTCTGCATTTCTAGACCTGTATACGGAGGCTAGGGAAATATCATTGGATTCTAGAATTTTCTTTAAGTCAACGATGCTCTGTTTTACTTCTGCAGTAATCTGTTTGATTTCTTTTTCCTGTTCCGTAAGAGCAGCCAGGTGTTTAGATTTCATCTCATCAATTTCATACTTTTGTTTATTGACAATGATGTTAATTTCTCTGTGCCAGTCTTCTCCTTGTTTGGTGACAGCTGTTGTCAGTTTCCTGTAGTGTGTTTCCAAGTTGTCTTTCTTAGTTTTTATGCCTGATGCAATTTCTTCATATTTTGGATAAATTCTAGTCTCGAGTTCTCTTAGTTCTTTTTCCATTTCTCTTGTTTTGGAGTTGAGTTTTTGTAAAACATCTGATAAATGATGTCCTTTATGTTTCCCTGAGGAAATGCAGATAGTACAGACAGGAATGTCACATTGCTCACAGTAAAGTTCACAGCTCTTGGAATGATTTGGACATTTCGGATAGTTAGGAGCTGAGGTTCTTTCTTTATATGGTACAACTCTATGTTTCTTGGTTGAATCAGAAAGATGTTCTCCTACACAGGCCTTACACAGATTGACGTGACAAAGCTCACAATGACTTTGTACCACATTTCTCTCGCAGAGGTCACATCTTATGATGTCTTGAGCACTATACCGGGGGTCCATACTGATGATTCAGCCACAATAGCTAAGGTCAAAGACTTGCTGCAATTAAAGTAGGGAAGAAAAGTGATGGTTAAATACCACTGATTAAATGCTCAAGAAATTAACTCTGTGATAAAGAGTTCTTGAAAATAAAACGTTTACAATAAAAATAATGGAATAGAAACTGCTATTCAAAAAAGACTCACTCTTGATGCAAGTTGATTTTGAATGATCAACTTAAAGATCACTATACTTGAGGAAATGTAAATTATCAGACACACCTATGAATGGCCTAATTAAAAATTCAATTCCTTTTCCAACCGTTACAGACAGGCTATCCATAATATTAAAAAAAAATCCTTCATTATATCAATAATTTACTTACTTGGGTAATTAAAAATACAAATGGTACTAAGTAACAAAGAAAAAACAGCGTTATATATCATGTCTGACCTGTAAATCTAACATGGCTCCCGGACGACACCAATATTACTTCCTTCTTCAGTTATCTGTCCAAGGCTGTGATTCGGTCACGTGATTTAAATACCTGATTGGTATGTATTGATCTCTGTTTGAAATTTGACACGTCAGGTCAAATTTCTGTTCTAAAGTTAAATATACACATGCAACCAATTCTAATTTTCATAACCCATGATTATTTAAAATTTTATACTGCTAAATTTTAGCTGAAGTCAGGTCAGATTTTACCTATGAAGTTGAAGTGTGTATAGCTTATTGTATAACCCTTGGTTACTTTTTTTTATTGAAAGTCTTGAAAATTTTTTTTTTAAATCCCTGAAAACTTAATGTCTAAACACGTATACAAGAATATGCTTGATGATTGATTATAGGTTGTTCAATTAACGTCCCTCTTGAGAATTTTTCACTCATATGGAGACGCTAAACAAGAATATGAAGGAATGCACTATATGAAATTTATACTAACTTGTTTGAAATTCAATTTCCACCAAAACCTATACACGCTAAATATAATACATTTACAGTAATTGAATCTCCTAAACAAATAAGGAAGGAATACACTGCTCTTTTTCTACTTTTCTTCAATTGTTTCAAAACATATCAATCTTGTCATATGATTTGAATGATACGTACACTCAATCAGACTGTGACAGAGTATACCATAACTTTTTTTCTGCTTTCAAAGCAGAGCAACACAATCATTTTCAGTGGAATTTCATCTTATATCCAATCTCTATCTTCACAGTAATTAGAAAGAAGAACTTCAGCAGAAAGGATAATTATGAGAAATGCAATATCTTACGACTTTGGCTTAATAAGTTTGACCTTTGGGTTTGAAGAAAAGAAATTGGTAGTTTCAATATTTTTAAAAGAAGAATATTACGCCGTAGTATATAATGTATTTTATATCATAATACATTTAACTCATCAAATTATATCTATATGAGTATGCTACATTTGGTTGAAAAAGGTTTTTGCTTGCCAGTTTAATAAGTAATAAAGGTTTTCCATGATAAAGGTATTCCAACCAAAAAGTTCAACTCTTTTTCATGTACAGTAATTTATTTATGAGTCAACAAAAACAATACAAAAAACAAAGTAATAGTGAGTTGCCAGTCTTTAAACCTCATTATAAGGTTTGAGTGAGAGTCTTGGAGCAATGTTCATTGACTGTAACTCCTGGAATAACAGTTTACAGGCGTACGGCATCTTGAGAGTAGACACGTGACGTGAAGATTTACAGAACTCACACCAGCCCGAGTATCCCAGAAGGCCACATTCACCGCAAACGTCCACCTCAAAGGCATCACTGGATATCATTAATCTCTCCAACAACAGCATACTGTAATGTTATAAATAAATGTCACAAATTAAAATAACTACAAAACTACAAGATGACAGAATCTTCATTACATCCACAATGCAATGATTTTGCCTTTCGACATATGATAAACCATACTCCTTCCTTAATTAAATCTAGCCTTTTACCTATCATAAAAATTATTTTTACCTTTAATACACTTGGACAGCATAACAATCATGATCTATTTTCAATACACTAACTATGCTTAATGTCTAATAAAAAAATCTCACTCCTTTAATAAATACACAAACCTAGCTCCATATCCAATGAGACAATCTCGCTCCATCTCCCCCAGTCTCAGGCCTCCATCTCGAGATCGACCCTCCGTGGGTTGTCGAGTCAGTACAGCCCTCGGTCCCTTGGCTCTGGCGTGCATTTTATCTAGGACCATGTGCTTCAGTTTCTGGTAGTATATTGGACCAAAGAAAATATAGGCCTCAAGTGGTTCCCTATAGAAAAAAAATACAATTTTGACTTCCCTTGATATCTATAAAGTTATTATTTCGGGTAAAGTTTTTGGACTTCATATTTCTTTCATTATACTTTACCCTGTTATTCCTGAGGTGACAAAATCTTTGCCGAGATAATTGAATCCATGTCTGACCAAATCTTCTGACAGATCACAAACCTTGTCTCCACCAAAAGCTGAAATAAGTCACAAGACAGAATTACACAAGAATACATACAGATTGTTGATTTTTGCCTTGGTCTCCAGAACATTTAGTTCAAAATAACATAAACACTTTTTTTTCTCAAGTATTTTCATCCATGCTTATTTTTTGGATAAAAAAATTTAGCTTGGAAAGTTAAAAGATGTTGTGAATGCAATATTATCCTAACATTTTTTTTAATCTGCAAATGAAATCTTAATTTCACATCAGATAGATACCTGTTCCATAGTGGAATTTCCCGTCAAGCACACCAGCCTTACTCCCCATCAGCTCCATCAGTTTACCCACTGTCATTCTGGAGGGGTACCCATGGGGGTTCATTATCTGAAGGTCAAACAATGATGGTCAAGACATAAGTAAAACAAATACAGTCATTATGGATGGGTACCCATGGGGGTTGCTATCTAAAGGTCAAACAATGATGTTCTTGAAACATCTTCTATATACATGTAAAACAAACAATATGTATACAATATCACATACATAAACTGTGTAGTTGAGAAGAATTTCAAAGTTATGTCAATACTTACAATGTCTGGGCAAATTCCCTGAAAATATGAAAATAATTAATGATTTACACATACACTCCATTTTTGTGTATCATTTTGAATTTAGTGTATACATGTAACTATATATTGAAATGCACAAACTAAAATTTAATTTACAAAGTAAACGGGACAACTGCACTTTACCGGTACGTCCAAATAACATGGAAATAGCACGTGCTCTTTCTCTATAAGAGAGTCACGCGTCAGCGTGACGATTTCGCTAAAAAGGCAATAAAATGCAAAAATAACCTATTTTTTGAATTCCTCGTCATTTTTCATGTTAATAAACTTCGTTTAATTAACGAAGTTATTAATTAAAACTAAAAGCACTTTCAAAACAAACCTTTGGCTTTCATTTTTTTGGTCACATTCCAAAGTCGTGACATTGTTAAGCACGTGACTTATTTCAATGCTGTGATTGGTCAGGGTAGGTGACGTGAACAAGAAAGTTTGACTTCCACTCTATTTGATTGTAAACAGTGATTCATCATGCACCTTATTTAAGATGATTTGTGTTGTGTTTTCTATGAATGGATATTTTTAATTGACTGACTGCAACATTCTAGAATTTTTGGAAATTTTAGCGATAAATGTGATCCTTAGTTTATGGAAATGTTGAATAAGTGGAGGGGCAAAACTTGTAAACATGCAGTGAGACCGGTCTTGTTTCAAGAAACAGCAATCGGCAGTATAAGAAAAATGAAACGTAAGAGACACATCTTAGATTTCTGGAAACAGAGCTGCAGTAAATCCTGGATTTATGAACTAAAATTTATCTATTTCAATTTGCAAAACACTGGATACTTTACAATCACTGAGACCACATGGAAAGCAGTTATATAGGAAATCTCTATTAAAACAAGAATGCATTAGGATAGTAGCTATAATTAAAAATTGACGTTTATCTCCTTCATCGCCCATAAAAACGTATTTACAACTCATCAAAAAAGACACAATGGTTCTACATGTATAGTGACACGTACGTATGGCCCCGAGTCTTAATGCAGATTTATCTACCGACTAAGGTAAGTTTGTTTTATTTATTTTTACATATTGGGGGCCCCACACCCCCGCTTAAAAAAGCGAAAACCCATTTAGATATCTTTTTTCTTGCTTCGAGAGTTTCTTACACAACAAAATGGCGTCGCCCATCATAGTTGATACGTTGCTACGTTTTTACGCCGGGCACTCTCACGCGCGGATATAGAATCAAAATGGCGGCCGTACCGGTAAAGTGCATTCTATCCAAGTAAACATTATATAAATATGAAAATACACGTGTACATTGTACTGAGAATTTTTTCCAACCAGGTTATTATTCATTAATTGTTTTTTTTTAAATTAACTTGTATTACGAGTATTATCAACAGCTTCAGCAGAAAATTAATTCAGATAATTTTTCATACATACCAGATCAGTAAATGGCATATCTTCCTGAGGTACAATTAATCCACAAACCCTTTAAATATCAAAAAATGATATTGATCAAAAACTGTTTAGAGTACATGTAAAAATATACAGAGGCCCAAAATTTGACTTAAAAACACACATCAAAAAGTGACTTGCATAAGGATGTTTATCTCCCTTTTATATTCAAGGTCAGGGACAGAGATAGTAAATTTTTAAAATTAGGGGAATTATTCAATTGTCTTGAAGTAACTATATATAAAATATGTAATTATATTTAATTAGAAGATTTACCCCTTCTGTCCGTGCCTGCTGCTGAAATTATCCCCGATCTCCGGCCTCCGAGTCTGCCGCTGTAGGATCTTGATTAAGAACGCTTCCTCGGGATTGGACGTAATCAGAACCTTCTCTATATAACAGGCCTCTGCACCTTTGTAACTGAAAATGACACAGATACATTGAGGTTACTCTATATTTTGTAGTAGAATATGGAATTTAATTCCCTAATAGGATTATTCTTTATTTTTATGACTGAAAACAATACTGAAGGTGATATATATACATATACTTGATACTAATAGGAACCTCTCAACAGTCTGCTTCATAAGGTTCAGGATGTACATGTATAATACTAACGTGGTGGGGACTTCCCTATTCTCCTGCCCCTGGGGCTGACCCTGTGTTGTAGGAGACTAGACTCTCGGGTTGAGTAATGAGGATGAATGATATGTGATGGGGATGTATCAATACTTACATGATAGGAACCTCTCTTTACTATACTCTGGCCCCTGGGGTTGAGTACTGGGGATGTATTAATACTTGCGTTATAGGTACCTCCCTATATTCTGGTGTTGGAGATGTATTAATATCAATACTTACATGATGGAATTCTCTCTATACTTTGGCACCTGCGGCTGACCCTGTGCTGTGGGAGACTAGACCCTGGTGTTGTGTACTGGGGATGTATTAATACTTACGTTATAGGTACCTCCCTGTACTCCGGTCCCTGGGGCTGACCCTGTGTTGTAGGAGACTGCTGTATTGGGTTCATTGTCACCGTGGGCATCCACTTATTGACCAGAACCTGTCTGTTCTCCATTCTCTCTCCTAATCAATCAGTCAAAAGTTTAGTATTAAAACTCATACTGTCTTTCTGTTTTGGGATATGAATTAGTTCAAGCTCCCTTCGCTATCAGTAGGTCGGACACTGTATTTAAGCTTATTTCGTCAACGAGTTTGCGCTAACAATCATACTGTATGTAGGTAAGGTACATGTTTACGCATCCGCTATCTCTCCTAGGCATTATTATTTTTAAGGTCTTCCGTTTCCAACGGAAGACCTTATTGTTTTCGTTCGGTTTCTTTTTCCCTATTATTATTATTTTTTTCTTACCGATTTTTGTGCACGCCAGTTCTCGGAAACGGCTCGATCGATTTTCACGAAACTTTCAGATCTGATAGATATTGGTCTGAACCTTATTGGAAATTTTTTATAAATACGTCATCACTTCCGGTCGTGAGATATGGACGATTTACTGATTTTAAGAGGGTCAGCTTGTCCGGGCAATCACTAAAAAACGAATGAAGATATTGACTTGAGATTTTCAGTGAAGGTAGAGGAAGGATTGGTAAATTGCTTTTTTGAGTCTATATCTTTCCAGCGCATAAGGCGTTGAAGCTCGCCTGAGCTCGTTATAATTATTATTTTTCTGACCATCAAATTTTGTGCACGTGATTTCTCGAAGACAACTGGATGGATTTTTATGAAATTTGCAGAAACAATGTGTTGCTATCTGAAGTTATCATATCCTGGAGATTTTTTGGAAATTTCTTTCTGGTGCCAAGTTACGGACAATTTTCTGATT